TTAGTTTTCGGCAGACACAACATCTTTCTTTGTATGTGGTGCTGAGGATCGAACCCGGGCCGCACGCATGCCAGGCGAGCGCTACCGCTTGAGCCACATCCCCAGCCCCATAACTCAGTCATTTTATCTCTTAATTTTCTTTTTCTTTTTCTTTTTTATTTTTTTAGTTGTAGATGGACACAACACCTTTATTTTATTTGTTTATTTTATGTGGTGCTGAGGATCGAACCCAGTGCTTCACATGTGCTAGGTGAGCATTCTACCACTAAGCTACAGCCCCAGCCCCTCTTAATTTTCTTGCATTGTCCAACATAGAGCTTTTGGGGGACACATTATATCTGAACCATACCAGTATTCTTTTCAGATCAGTCCAAATTAAGCAAAGTCTTCTTGACCCCAGTTTTATCCCTCTTCCTGACAATTTCCAACCCTTAGTGATGACTTTTTTTTTTTTTTTTAGAGAGAGAGAGAGAATTTTTTAAATATTTATTTCTTAGTTTTCGGCGGACACAACATCTTTGTTTGTATATGGTGCTGAGGATCAAACCCGGGCCGCATGCATGCCTGGCGAGCGCGCTACCGATTGAGCCACATCCCCAGCCCCCCATAGCGACTTCTGATGTTAAATTTATGGCAGATTTGGTAGATTATCACCATTTCCCATTTTTTAATGTATATTTGGAAAAATTACCACTAGCTCATTGTCAATCTGGTGGTTGTAAAGGATAAGTGAGAGTCAATTTAAGAAAAAATAACAGGGCAAATATTGGGAAACACTGGTAGCTACCTACCACTTTCTTCACAGTAATCATGATCTACCCCCTGGTGCTTCCTCCTCTTCCCAGTGCTGGGGGTCGAACCCAGGCCCTCAGGCATGCTAGGCAAGTGCTGTACCACTGAGGAACTTTTCCAGCCCCATTGTGGCTTTTTTAATAGTTTATTTTTAAAAGAAAAATAAACTTCTGGTATGTTTTGTCTCACCAATTACTGAGACATGCTGCACACTCTACAACTCTAATTGTAGTGGCCTCCTATGGCACTTTGGATCACAGATTTTACCCAATTCATATTCAATATGCTTCAACAAAGAATAATGTATACTTCTCAGAGACGCATTTCTAGTTAAAAGAGTAGGTAGTAATAGATGACGTGGAGATAATGCTCACCACCTAAATCCTACTCACTGGGGAAAAGGCACTCTACCATGAGTTTTGTCCCCATCCCTTTTTATATTCTATTTTATTTATTTTTTAAAATATGTCTTTAGTTGTTGATGGACCTCTATTTTATTCATGTATCTATATGTGGTGCTGAGATTCAAACCCAGTGCCTCACACATGCTAGGCAAATGCTCTACCACTGAGCCACAACCCCAGCCCTTATATTTTATTTTTAAGACAGGATCTTGCCAAGTTGCTGAGGTTGGACCTGAGCTTGTGATCCTCCATCCTCAGTCTCCTGAGCCACTGGGATTATCAGCATCTTTTTGTTTTTTATTCTAAAATAGGGACTCACTAAGTTGCTCAGGTTGGCCTTGAACTTGTGATCCTCTTTCCTCAGCTTCCTGGTCACTGGGATTATAGGTGTGCACTGCCTCCACCAACTACCACATTCTGCATTTTGAGTTACAACCAAACATATCAAGCCATCTTCTACAGTTGTTTAAACCAGATACTGTTTTCTGTAGAAGGAGAGAAACCTACCAAAGAGTCTTGAGGCCCACACAGGTTCTTCCCAAAGATCATTCTCCTAGGGAGTTGGAGCACATGCAGACAGTTCTAGAAGAGGAGGAATCTGCTGTTACCAGCGTATTGAGTGTTGGGTCCATGCTTTCCAGTCTTCATGCTGCTTTACTCCTGGAGGCTAGACCACATGGGTAGGCACTTCTCGTGGCACATTGCTAGACTTCATCAAGAGAGCTTGCTGGGGGGGGGGGACTGCACGACAAAGCAGACACTTCCTTTCTTGCTTCCCAATGCCTGTTCCCTTTCACAGGGCAGCTGCCAGCGGCAATCAGGAGCCCCTGCATGGCTCATTCTGGCCATTTCTTTCCATTCAGGGCTAACAGCCACTCCTGCTGGAGCTCAGTCTCCATGGTGGCACCTTCTCTAGGAGTTCCCCTTTTGGGCACTCTCCCTCCCTGTAGGTAGCAGCTACTCCTTGTGTTTGCTGCTCTTTATTTCTTAGTTTAGTAGTTGGCTGCATTTTACTGTGAATAATTTTATTATAAATTCTCCTTTGTAAATCATGGGTGTGTTTTTGTCCCTTGACTGGACTCTGACTGATATGGAAGTGGTCCAGGAATGGTGCCAGGAGACAGACCCTCAAAGATAGGCTTTAGGGACTGGTTTGGTTGTGACTTGGGTTGAAGTCAGTGCTGAACATTTTGCCGTAGAAAGTAGGAGGTTTATAATCCCTGGCATGCAGAGCGAATCACAGTCACACTATCTGTCATCTATGGTTGATTGTGATGAGGTGCCAACTTTGTCACTTCATTGTAATGAAGCCAGTGTCTCAGAAGTCCCAGTGGCTGCTGCTGCTGAACAAGTATTGGTGTCAGTGCCCTGGAACACTTACAAAAAGAAATGGCAGTCTCAGCTTCTTTTATTGTCAGGCCACTGTCTGAGAGGCAGAAAGTTCCATAGCAGCTCTAACAATCTTTTTTTTTTTTTTTTTTTTTTAATTTTCTCTTTGTGAGTTTATTGGGTATGTTTTGTTCTAATCAGCTTGAAACTGAAAACTGATTCTCAGTGGCAGTGATGCCATTGAGGTTTTTTTTTCTTTTTTAAATTTTAATTTGTTATATATGACAGCAGGATGCATTACAATTCATATTACACATATAGAGCACGATTTTTCATCTCTGGTTGTACTCAGAGTAGAGTTCCACAATTCGTGTCTTTGTACATGTATTTAGGGTAATGATGTCCATCTCATTCCACCATCTTTCCTACCACCATGCCCCCTCCCTTCTCCTTTGCCTAATCCTAATCTCCCTAATCCTCCCATAGCCCACCTCAGCACATTGTGAATCAGCATCCTTAAATCAGAAAACATTTGGCATTTGGTTTTTTGGATTGGCTTACTTCACTTAGCATTATATTCTCCAATTACATCCATTAACCTGCAAATGCCATGATTTTATTCTCTTTTAATGCTGAATAATATTCCATTGTGTATATATACCACATTTTCTTTATCCATTCATGTACTGAAGGGCATCTAGGTTGGTTCCACAGTTTAGCTATTGTGAATTATGTTGCAATAAACATTGATATGGCTTTGTCCCTGTAGTATGCTGTTTTTAAGTCCTTTGGGTATAGACTGGATGGGATAGCTGGGTCAAAAGGTGGTTCCATTCCCAGTTTTCCAAGGATACTCCATACTGCTTTCCACATTGGCTGTACCAATTTGCCATTCTCACCAGCAATGTATGAGTGTGCCTTTTTCCCCACATCCTTGCCAACACTTGTTGTTTATATTCTTTTTTTATATATATTTTTTAGTTTTAGATGGACACAGTATCTTTATTTTTACATTGATGTGGTGCTAAGGATCAAACCCAGTGCCTCATGCATGCTAGGCGAGTGCTCTACCACTGAGCCTCAAACCTAGCCCCCGTTGTTTGTATTCTTTTTTTTTTTAATACCCTTATTTTATCTATCTATCTATTTATTTATTTAATTTTATGTGGTGCTGAGGATTGAACCCAGGGTTTTGCATGTGCTCTACTGCTAAGCCACAACCCCAGCCCCCGATTGTTTGTATTCTTAATAGCTGCCATTCTGACTGGAGTGAGATGAAATCTTAAGAGTAGTTTTGATTTGCATTTCTGTAATTGCAGAAATATTTGTTGATTCATTGTATATCATCTTCTGAGAAGTCTCTATTTATTTCCTTTGCCCATTATTGATTGGCTTATTTATATTTATGAGTTTTTCATATATCCTAGAGGTTTGTGCTTTATCTGATGTGCATGTGATAAGCTCTAACAATCTTGCTTTTTGTAGTAGCTGGGGCTGATGTTGAGGAAAATAAATGTTCCTAAAATTTAATTGTGTGGGTTTCAGGGTTACTATATCTATCTCTTATGTGAAGGTTGAGGTCTGTCTCTGGTCTGCATTGTCCTACACAGTGTTGAGTTAGATTTTGAAGTCACCTACCAAGGGACTTAGTAGTTAAATCTGGCAGATAATAAAAGGATTAATACCCAGGATTTGCAGAAAGTTATACTTACTATTGGTGGGAGCGCAAACTTTTTTTTCTTAATGTCTCAAGCGGTAGCGTGCTCGCCTAGCATGGGTGCAGCCCAGGTTCGATCCTCAGCACCACATACAAACAAAGATGTTGTGTCTGCCAAAAACTAAAAAATAAATATTAAAATTCTCTCTCTCTCTTCTCTCTCTCTCTCTTTAAAAAAAAAAAAAAGAATGAAGTAGGTATATGTGTGTGGATCTGAGAAGAATTCTACAATGTGTTAAGTGATGGAAGTAGAGTGGTGTGAAGAATAAAGTTTAATTTTTATTTTTTTAATAACAAATTTGTGTATAGGCAAAGGTCTAGAAGGATATATATATATCAAATTAGGAAAGGCAGTGAATAATGTCATCTCTGGGAAGTTGGATGAATGAATAATCAGTGTTATCTGTAGAAAGTGGGATTGTAATCATAAAAATAATCTTTAAGATTTCTTATAATGAATGTTTTCTTAATGCAGTAAAACAATGTTTGCAGAGATGGAGGTCCTTGGTCAGTTTAACTTGGGATTTATAATAACCAAACTGAAGGAGGACATCTTCCTTGTGGACCAGCATGCCGCTGACGAGAAGTACAACTTCGAGATGCTGCAGCAGCACACTGTTCTCCAGGCTCAGAGGCTCATTGCGTAAGTTCACATAGAGTCCAAAATTTTCACTGCTATTTCCCCAGTTCCTCCCCTCATTTAAGATTGAAGAACTTATAAGTGTCTGCTTATGTGCATGTTAGTCTTTGCCATGGACATCCATGCAGCAGTTTTACACTTTTTATGTAGTACTAGTCCTGGCTGTTATTTCTTAAGTGCTTATCATGTGCTGGGGACTATTGAAGCAATTTGAATGCACTGGTTTATTTAATCCTCACAAACCTACAAGACACTTACTGTCTCCATCACTATTTCATAGGTGACAAAACTGAAGCCCACACAGAGATGCTAAAAAGCCTGCTAGAGGTCACTTAGTTGATGTGTTCTTTAGGTATTAGAATTTTTTAGCTTTTCGGGGCTGGGAATGTGGCTCAAGCGGTAGCATGCTCACCTGGCATGCATGCGGCCCGGATTGAATCCTCAGCATCACATACAAACAAAGATGTTGTGTCCACCGAAAACTAAAAAATAAATATTAAAGATTCTCTCTCTCTCTCTCTCTCTCTCTCTCTCTCTCTCTCTCTCTTTAAAAAAAGAAGGAAAAAAAAAGAATTTTTTAGCTTTTCAAAAATGTAGCTCACTGGTTGGCCAAAAAATTATTTTGGTGAAGGGCAACTGATAGTTCACAGTATTCATAGTTACAGTGCAGAAGGGTTGTGTGTTCAGAAAGGCAGCAGAGTGTGCAGCTCAGTCTACCCGTGTAGCAGAGAAGTTTCAGTGGCTTGTTGCAGTGGCTTATTGCTGAAGAAGTCAGCACTTCTCTCCCCCTGTGTCAAGTTTGAATGTTTTCAGTGACTACCATTCAAGGGGCTGTGATGGTTGTCATGTAAACCAGCAGGTTTGTCTTAAGTGGGGTTACGAGAGGTCACTGATTTCATTTGGGAAATAAAACTATGTAAATAAATGAACTCAGACTACAAGGGGTCGATGGGGCATAGAGAAACATCCCCCCAAATAGTCCTCAGCTGGGAAAGTGTGTCCAGCTTACTGAATGCTCCATTTCCCATGGAATGCATTAATCCTTTTCATTTTCCGCAGGAGTAAGTGGTAATAGTGAAGATGTTTGGTGAGCTGCTTTATAATATGTACATATTTCTGCTTGTTTCACGGGATCTTTTGACATTTTGCATAAATGTGCAACATCACAAGTTAAACTAGATAATCACAGGCCACTTTGGGTTCCACATGGATCACACTTCAAGATTAAAGGATAAAGACCAAAATTCCTTCCTAGCCTATGAGACCCTGCACAGTTTGCCCTTGATGACCTCTTTAGCATTTTCTATTTTCCCTTCTTATTCTCTTGTGCTACTCTGGCTTTATCCTGGCCATCCTGATTAATTCAGCCATGGAATTCATTGAGAAGAATGAAATGTGTCCTTTTTTTAAAAAAATATTTTTTGTTGTACATGGACACAATACTTTTATTTATTTACTTTTAAGCGATGCTGAGGATTCGAACACAGTGTTTCACATGTGCTAGGCAAGCATGTACCACTAAGCTACAACCCCAGCCCTGACGTGTATCTTTACGTATGGTGCTGGGAGCATGAGCAGTCCTTTGGAGTACCTTTACACAGATGGTTTTCTCTGCTGGGAACACTCATCCCATACTTACCTCTCTCCCTTTACCTAATTTGCCCTCCTTGTCCTCATAGCTTAGCTTTTCCCCTGACCTTAGAGCCGAGGCCCACTTGCTGTATGCTCTTTTGGCACTGGATGTCTTTTCTTTTCTATCTCACTGTTGTTTGTAGTTGTAATTGATTTGACTGTCTGTTTAGTGTCTGTCTTCCTAATATAAGACAGAGACTGAGTCTCTGTTTGCTCACCAGACTATTTCCTGTGTTCAGCAGTGTTGTCTTATTATGAATCCAGTAGGAGAGATGAGTGGATAAGAAATGCAGGCAGAGGAGGGAGCAGGATAGCAAAATTCTTGTTCATGTTCATTGTTTTCAAATGATCTTTATTGTGAAGTGGAAATGTTGGCATAGTTTTATCCTTAAGGAGAAGATCTGAAAAAAGACCTGGTCCCTGGGATATGATGGCAGATTGAGGAGAAAGCAAACTACTTTTGTGTTTTTACATTAAATTTTAATATGAACTTTTTAAGAAAAAGAAAACTAAAAGAAATAGTGCAGGAGGTTTTTGTGATGAATAGTAGAAAGGTCCAGAGCTGAATAATGTTATATCATTTTTTGAAAGTTAGTACTGGGGATTGAACTTGACCACTGAGCCACATCCCCAGCCCTATTTTGTATTTTATTTAGAGACAGGGTCTCACTGAGTTGCTTAGTGCCTCATCATTGCTGAGGCTGGCTTTGAACTTGTGATCCTTCTGCCTCAGCCTCCTGAGCCGCTGGGATTTCAGGCATACAACCACATCCAGCTTAATGTTTTACTTTCATTTCTGCTTTATGGGTAAATGTTGATGTCAAGTTACAGTGTGAATCTCCTGTTTTTCAGACCTCAGACCCTCAACTTAACTGCTGTCAATGAAGCTGTCCTGATAGAAAATCTGGAAATATTCAGAAAGAATGGCTTTGATTTTGTCATTGATGAAGATGGTAATTTAGTAATCAGGACTATCAAATTGTGGTATTTTTTTAAGAGCTGGGAACAGTCTTTGACATTATTTAATCAGTTTATTTATTTTGTAAAAGGTGCAAAGGCTTCCCAAGAAGCATTTTGTGTCTTCAGATGTTCCTTTGCAGTAGTACTCAAATAATAGATATTTCTCAAATAATGGATTTTTCTCAAACTTTTATTCTTTTAGCTCCAGTCACCGAAAGGGCTAAGTTGATTTCCTTGCCAACCAGTAAAAACTGGACTTTTGGACCCCAAGATATAGATGAGCTGATCTTTATGCTGAGTGACAGCCCTGGGGTCATGTGCCGGCCATCCCGAGTCAGGCAGATGTTTGCCTCCAGAGCCTGTCGGAAGTCTGTAAGTATAGAAAGCTCCACTGCGGGGCATGGTGGGTCTGCTCATGCCTGTGGTCTTAGGAAGTTCTCAGTTCAGCTTCTGATTGGGTCAGTGTTGTTGAATGTCTTCATGATCGCCACAGAACATGTTATGCCAAGAGTCAGTTCATCTCTATTAGTACAACATACCAGCCAGCAGGTCTGTGTTATCTTTGACCTCTAATTCACGCCTATTGCCCTTTTTCCACATAGTTAAGCAGTATTCCACCTTGGGGCTTTTGTTGGCCCTAGCATGGTCAGCTCTGCATGCACCTTGCCTGTCCATGGTCCTTGTGGGTAATAGCAACAGCAACTTTGGTTGAGAAAGGTTTGCTGCTGCCAGGTCAAAACCATGCCATCTATGCTCCTGGGAGTCATTGAGTCACAGGTGTTCCATAGTGGCCATTGTTGTGTCCCTGCTGTTGCCAAGATCTGTAGTGGAAATAGTAGCAATGGCTAGGGATTAACCTGATGATGTCCAAGTCCAGTAAATGGCTGTGTCACTTTGTCACATTTCTTATTTATTCAGCATATATTCCTTGAGCCCACTTTGTGGCTAACCTTGTTCCAGATGTGAGGACACAGAAGTAACTAGGCTGGTGAGGTCCCTGCTCATGTGGAGCTGATTGTTTCATGGGGAGAAATAAACAAAAATACATGACACCTTAGATGTGAGTGCTGCAAAGAAATTCTCACAGTGTGTTGGGATAGGGAACAACCAGAGGAATGAGATGAACAGGTGAGACGGGCAGTCAGGGAATGGCTGTGTGAGCTGCTACCTTGGGTAAGAACTTTCTGGTTAGAAGAAATAGCAAATCCAAAGATTTAGGGTGTTTGAATAGGTCCAGAGGCTGGTCCATGTGCTTTGAGAGGGACATGTGGAAGCAAAGCTGTGAGGCATGCTGGGTCTGGAGTCAAGAAGGAGGTGGAATTTAGGGGGAGTGGGTGGAACATTGGATGGGGGTGGAGTGCTTGGGAAGGGCTAGAGCATCTAGGGAGCTGGAAGGGTGAAGAGCACAGCTGTAGACATGCTGTGTGTGAGGTCCCATGTGACTCTAAGCCAGGTGTCTGAAAACAGTGCATTGGTGAGTCTTGGGCTCCAGGGAAGTGTCAGAGCTGCTCATCAGATGGGTAGAATTTATAGCTGTGAGACTGGATGAAATTCTCCAGGGAAGAGTTTAATTAGAAGAGGACTCAGAATCTGACAGGTGTTTGTTTGATGAAGATCTAACACTGACCTTCCAACCCTGGAGTCTGAGTGAGTGACTGAGCAGGGCAGGCACTTTACCTCTCTGTCTTCACGGCTGAAGACCCTAGAACCACAGAACATGAGCTTTATTTTTGCCCTGGGGTTTGCATCCTGATGCATCTCTTCTTCCTCTGACCCTTGTGCCTACCCCCTTGGGCTCTCTTCTTTCACTGCCTGCCCAGGAGGCCTGTGCTATGCCCTGCTCATCCTTCCAGCCCCTTCTGTGCTCCAGCTGTGCTGGCCCTCTCTAGCTCCACAGCCACTCCACCTGCTCCGCTCCATCCCTTCTTCTACTCTTCCTTCTGCCTGGGTCTGCCCCTCAGCTCTTCATGTGGCCTGTTTCCCTCCCATCTGCACAGCCCCATGTGTGATACTCATCCTGCTTCTCTGTTAACTTGTTTATTGTTTGTCTGCCTCCAGCCTAGAAAGTCCCTGCGGTGCCACAGTAGGGCCACTACAGTTGCCCTGGTGAAAGGTGAGGGTGGCTAGAGCAGACAGGGTGGAGCTGCTGAGAGTGGTTGGATTCTGGATGGGTTGGGTTGGTGTCTCAAGGAGAGGTAGTGATGCCATACTGGAGCTGCCCTAGACCCACCAAAAGGCAGAGGGCTGAGATAGCAGAAGGGGGCGTCTTTGGGGGAAATTTATTGTAGAGAAGAGTGCTTCCGAAGAGTATTGTAACAGAGACCAGTAAAATTCTAAACCATTGTGTCTTGTACTCAGGTGATGATTGGCACCGCTCTTAACACAAGCGAGATGAAGAAGCTCATTACCCACATGGGTGAGATGGACCACCCTTGGAACTGTCCTCATGGAAGGCCAACCATGAGGCACATTGCCAATCTGGATGTCATTTCTCAGAACTGACACTTGTCATTTTCTTTGTAGATTTTATTGTAGATTTTTGTGTTTTGAAAGACAGGGTCTTAAGTAACACTTTTTTGTTTCAAAATTAACCTGCTACTTTAAAAAAAATGTACCAGATCCACTTAAAAATGATCTTAAGCCAGGTGTTGGTGATGTGCTCCTGTTGTTCCAACTACTCAGGAAGCTGAGACAGGAGATTGCTTGAGCCTAGGAGTTCCAACCCAACCTAGAAAACATATTGAGACCCTGTCTCAAAAAAAAAAAAAAAAGACTTGAGAATCTTTCAAACCATGTGGAGCATTGCTTGCAAATTCTTTTTGTTCTGGATTTGAATGTATATGTGTATACAGGCAAGAACTTATTTTACAAAAATAAGAATACTTTGGAAGTTACCTAGGCCTCAGTTCGCCTGGAGGTGTTTTAGTCTGCAGCTTTCCACCCTCAGTGTTCATTAAATTCATTTTGGTTGAAATTCATTAGCTTAAGATTATGGTTCTTTTGGGTTAGTTATTCTCAACCCTAATGCATATTAAATTTAAAAAAGAACTAATCACAAAAATGCAAAGAGAATTCTCTGCTTGGCTAAAACAAATGACTGGATGAAGATGGTGTTGCTATTTTTAAGTGCTCCCAGTGCAGCAAGCATTTGGAAACTGCTGTTCTAGGCAGAGGGAAAGAAAAGATTTTGATATTTCTGTACTTTCATACTGTGATTTGGTTTCCTTGGGATGTGAACTGCAGGTGTTTCCTTCATGGGCTCTCCCCATTTGAGCTGTTGCCAAAAATGGAAGTTAAAATACCTTTTTTTTTTTTTTTACTTTACTTTTACTATGGATTCCAAATGGTGGTAGGGGTACAGTGATGACAAGTATGAGCAATGCACTGCCACCCCTTTCCCCAGAGAGTGGCCTCTTAGGAGAGCAGACCTCCAAAGTCTAGCATTCCTCAGATGTAACCAGACAGTAGTCATTGCATTCACTGCGCCAAGCTGTATACTGGTTGGGTTTCTGCATCATCTCATTTAATATCCACAAGAACTCAACAAATTGGGAATTGCTTTAGGCTTTATGATGCCCCACCGAGATGGCTGGGTCCTAATCCTCAGAGTGTGGGATGTCATCTTGCATGGCAAAAGGAACTCTGCAGAGTTTTTAAGTTAGATTAGCCTGTACTGTCTAGGGGGCCCAGTCTCTCACAGGAGACTTCAGAGTAGAGACCAACCTCCCAGCTCCAGCTGGTCAGGGAGATGCAGTGTTGCTGATTTTGAAGATGGAAGAAGGCTACGCTAGCTAAGGCATTACTAGAAGCTGGAAAAAGACAAGAAAATGAATTCTTCCCTGGAACCTCCAGAAAGACCAGCCCTGGTGGACTAACTTATAGAACTGTAAGATAATAAACTTACTGTTTTAAGCCACTGTGTTTGTGGTGATTTGTTTAAAAAGGCAGCAATGGAAAACTGATGCCTGTTTCATAGTGAAGAAACCTGTGGAGAAGCCAAGAAGTCGTGCAGGGCATTTACCAAAGCCAGGAAAATTCAGGCCAAATGCATCCAGCTCCAGCACTTTTTCCTCCTGCCTTAAGGACCAGAATGGGCTGTTCAACGTATTTGCAGTGGCGGCCCCTTTAAGGGGGAGGGGTCTAGTGTGTGGCAACGTGGTTGCCCGGAGACGGACCTAGTTTCGGGACGGGACGCGTGCCCCTGCGCCACTTCTGGGTGTGCTGCGCCACGCGTGTCTGAGCAGTGAGCACCTGGGGACCCCTGCGTACAGTGATAGTGTAAGGATCTGGCCGGCTGTTTCCTCAACCTCCTAGGATCTTAGCATGTGCTTGATGGGCGAGGGACCTGAGGCAGGGCAGAGCAACGCTGGGCCCAAGGCTCAGAAAATGGGGATTGCAACTGAAGCTGCTGCTTAAGCCTAGGACAGAGGGGCTTTAATAGAAAACTCTGTGAGAAATGAAGTTAATTTGTAGTTTGAATTTCACTGATAAAGGACAGTAGGCCTGTAAAGATCCGGATGAGAGTAGGCTGGACTGCTGAGGATGGTTTTGCCGAGGCAATAATTGGGGTCTGGGGAAAGAGCAATGTGGGTTTTAAAGGCAGAGAGAAGCCTGGAGGTGGGATTGAACTGGCCAAGTGGGGTCCAGAGGATGCCATCAGATAGAGTCCCTCACATTGTAGAATGCATGAGCAGAGGCCTGACTCCCAGGACATGTCTGTGTGTCCTTACTAGTGGACTAGGATGTTTCTAGTGGGGCCAGTTTGGGAGGGTAATGAAAACTGTGGCTTTGGAACCCAGCCCTTGTCCGCCTTCAAATTTTGGACATATTCTTGGCATATATTTTCTCCTCTGGCCTGTAAGAGGTGATATTGTTACAGGGAGTAGGTAGCCGGGCATTTCAAGTTCAAAAAAGGAAAAGTAACTATTTAAAATAATCACTTCATTTATCGACTGCTCTGTATCCTGTAAGAGATTTTTCTGTGCATCATCTCATTTAATCTTTGTGGTGAGACAAGTTATTATTATTTCTTTTTGATATCCAAGAGAAGGAAATTAAGCAACTTACTTAAAGTCACAGAGCTTATAAAGTGAGATGCAGGGCCTACCCCAACACTTGAAGCTTCACAATGCTCACATTAGGAGAGGGGCTCTTAACGTATGATTTGACATATGTAAGATCTTAGGGGCTAGGTAGTCATTTTTAAAAATGTTACACATGGTTGCAATATTTTTATTTTGTTTATTTACTTTTATGTGGTTCTGAGAATGGAGCCCAGTGCCTTACACGTGGGAGGCAAGTGCTCTACTGCTGAGCCACACTCCAGCCACCAGGTAGTCATTTTTGCATATAGGATTATCCTTATTGCGGTACTAATAGAAAAATAAAGCATGTTAGCTGGGGTTCCAGTGCTAAAAATTTCAGGAACCACCAGTGTGATGTTGAGATTGTATTTTTTTTAATTAAAAAAACCTGGTGATACTTGTAATTATTTTCTCAGGTTTTAGGAGAATGATACTATTACAAGGCTAAGTTTTTATAAGTGAGACTTCCAAGTATTTAGAGGCATAATTTTTATTTTTCAGATAAAACTCATCAGGCTTTAAAACAGACAGCTATCAACTGAAGGACCCATTGGATATTTATATATAAACTCTAGGACTTCCAAAGGCAATGGTGAAAGAAAAGAAAAAAGCAGACAAAAAAGGAGATAAGTCAGCCCATTCTCCCTCTTCTGGCTCAGAGTTTCCAGAGTTTTCCAAGCAAGATGGCAGTGCTCTTAGGCAAGAACCGCCCCCAAGTGGCATCCAGGCACTGGAATTGCCACTTAAGGAACCATTACCCAAAAGAGAGTCTAAAGCTCTTCAACAGAGTGAAGATGCCACTCAGTATGAAGAACCCATTCTGACTAAACTCATAGTGGAAAGGTGACTTTCACAGGGCGGGGCAGGATTGAATGCTGTGAATCAGGTGTTTCTCAAAAGCGTGCTTCACTGCAAGCATGTGAATCCTCATACATTTTTATGATCATCACATAATTGTCCCACCTCTGAAAACCACTCTTTAGGCTCTGTCTTTGTGTGATCCTTTTTGTGGTGCTGGCTTTGCCCCATTGAGGTTTCTGGGGGCTGCCTTTTCCAGACTCCCTTTTCTATCACTTTTATGTCCTCTCTAGGCAATCTCTTCTCTTTGTAGCTTTACCTAGCATCTCCCTGGATGACTGTATAAAACTACTTTCTTTAGTTCTGTTCTAGAATTTCAGATTCAAATTTTTTCTTATATATTTTTTTATACCTTTACTTTATTTATTTATTTTTATGTGGTGCTGAGGATTGAACCCAGGGCCTCGCACATGCTGGGCAAGCACTCTACCGCTGAGCCTCAACCTCAGCCCCATCAGATTCAAATTTTTAACTTCCTCCAAACTCTCCTATCCAGAAGTACAGACTGCAGGGCTTAAGATGAGTCCGGCTTTGAATCTTGGCTCTGTGACATTGACCCCATCCGTCCTAGAGTCTTGCTGAGCCTCAGGTCCTCAACTGGGGAATATGAGAATACCCACCTTATCAGGTTGCTGGGAATGTCATTCTTTTTCTTTTAGTTGTAACCTTCTCCATTGTTCCCATTTCTGTAATGGCAACACAATCTTCCACAATCTTCCTGGCCTGACACAGCAGAACTGTCCTCCCCATGCCTGTCACATTTCTTTTCCCTCCATTCTTCTCTCCTTAGTCATTTCCCTCGGCATAGACCTTATTCCTTCTTGTCAGAGTGATCTGACATTTCCTAGACTGCTTCCAGTGCCTCTCCTGAGGCCTCCTGTTTAGATTTACCTTCCTAATGCAGGGCTGTCTACGTTTCTCCCTGTACTAGTTAACCACTACTGTGTAACAGATATCCCAAACTTGGCAGCTTGCAGCTACCTCATGTGGTTTCTGGGTTCAGGATTCCCACAGCTGAGGTCTCATGAGGTTGCAGTTGAGGTGTTGACCCTGGATGCTGTCATGTGAAAGCTTGACAGCCTGCATATCTGCTTTCAAAGGAGTTCACTCCTATGGCTGTTGACAGGAGGCCTGACCTCATTTCCTGATTACATGGTCCATTCTCTGTAGGGCCTCTGAGTCCCTGACATGGCACCTGGTTTTCCCTAGAGAGAGTGATCTAAAGGCAGAAGCTACGGTATGTCTTCTATGACACATTCCAAGACCCAGTCTCAGAAATCACCCTCTTGCTCTCTACAATAGCCTAGTGGTCACATAGGTCACTGGTATTCCATGTGGGTATGAGTACAAGGTGAAAATCATGAGCTATGTGGAGGCTAGTCACTAAATTCCTCTTCCTTACCATCTCTTGAGTTTTTTCCCATTGAGTACAGAATGAAACCACTTAGCTCTACAGTCTGACCTTGGCCCACTTCACCCTTCCCTGCCCAACAGGGAGGTCCACCTCAATTTCCTACTGATTCCATTTGATTCTGTTTTTGCTTCTCCAACTGCCCTGGCTGGAGTGTTTTCCCTTGTTTCTGGGAACAGAAACAAATCCCACCTGCTCTTCAAGGGCCAACCTTTTCAGCACTTTTTTTGTTTATTGGTGCTGTGATTGAAACCTAGGGCCTTGTGCATGCTAAGCAAGTGCTCTGCCACTGAGCTACACCCCCAGCCCTTTGAAATTTAAAGTCCTTTAATCATAGTTACTATTTTCTGTTTTGTATCACTTTACTTACTACTTTACATTACATGCATACATATGATGTATGTGTCATTGTAATTGGCTTATTCGCCCTCAGCTTCTCTGCCTGGTTAAATTCCTCAGGAGCTGAGATGTAACCAGAACTTTACATACCTGGCCTCAGGCCCGGTAGGTGCTCAGTCAAGATTCACAAACTGCATGATGCCAGCAGCTGTTTACTCTCCACTGTGTGCCCACTCCCAGCTATAGCTGAGCACTCTAGAGGGATATTAAAAAGTATTGAACATAGTCAGTGTAGGATTGTGTTCTCTGGTGGGCTATTTTGAGAGAAGCTCAGAGCAGTGTGTACTGAGTTGGTTTGGGAAGGTGGGGCCTGCATTTACCTTGAGACAGGAGCCATAGGATAGAGTGTCCTGACACAGCAGGGGGAGGCTCCCAACCAGAGCTCTTGGATATATATGTGCTCTGGGAGCCAGGGAAGGTGTCCTTGATACCACCATATGGGGCTGTTAGGAACTCTTCCAAATCCTTTATATATTTTTTAAATTTATTGTTGTTAATTCCTGAAGCCATGTATGCATCTTATGACAAGTGAAATAATTCAATATATGATAAAAAGTTAATTGTCCCCTTCCTCCCTATTCCAATTCTCCTCTTCCTACCACTCTTGTTAATTATGGGTTTTTTTTTTTTTTTTTTGAGTTTTGTTTTGGGGATGGAACCCAGGGCCTTCTGTGTGCTGGGCAAGTGCTCTATCACTGAGCTATACCCCTCCTGCTCTCATTTATTACCATAAAGTCATTTGGATTTTATAGGTAAATAATCACATAATTTTCTATTTTATATTTCTTCAGCATTTACATCAGTTGTTTAAATTTCTTAACTTTTGCATTAACTAGAAATTCTAAAATGGGTATTGAATAATTGGTGGTAAAAGCTGGCATCTTGCTGGGCATAGTAGCACACTCCTGTAGTCCCAGCGGCTTGAGAGGCAGAGGCAGGAGGATTGCAAGTTTGAGGCCAGCCTCAGCAATGGCAAGGTGCTAAGCAACTCGGTGAGATCCTATCTCTAAATAAAATACACACTAAGGCTGAGGGTGTGGCTCAGTGGTAGAGTGCCCCTGAGTTTTTAAAAAAACAACAAAACTGGAATCTTGTTCATGTTCCTGAATTTGAATTGTTTCTCATCTCTTAAAAATCATGCATGCTGTTATTTTTTCATTGGTCTATTATGTTTAAGTAGCTTTCTCATATTATGTTAGAATAATTTTTAGAAATAATAGCTAAAATTTATCAAATGTTTGGATTTTCTTTTTAGTTTGCTGATGTATTGAATTATGTTCATAAATTTTTCTGAAGTTTAATTTCCTTGGATTCTTGGAAGAAATGAAATTTGGTCACACCCATCACAGGTTCATTTGTTTTCTTCTCATTTACGCCAGGTGAACTGTGTGACAAATCACACATTATCCTTTTGGTTCTGAACTAAAAATCTGGGCACTGTTCTTAAAAACTTCCCTTTCCCAAAGCTATCTCATCAGCACACTCTGTTGTATCCATGTCCAGAATAGGTCTTTTTGCTTTTTAAATTTTAAACATTTTTATTATGGTAAAGTATACCTAATATAAAATTTACAGTTTTGACCATATAAAGTGTATAATTCAATGGCATTAAGTATAGTTATGGTGTTTAAATTTCATTAAGTACAGTTACATCATCTGGCTCTATTTCCAGAACTTGTTCATCTTCCCAAATATCCATTTAACACTAAGCCCATGTCCCCAACTCCTCCCCAAGCCCCTGGTAACCTCTACTGTATATTTCAACTATACAATTTAATCCACTGTCATGTAGGTTTATTCACATCACTCATTACTTTGAGCTTTATTTCTTTGTAGCTATGAAGGAGAGAAAGTCCGAGGACTGTACGAAGGAGAAGGCTCTGCAGTCTTTCAAGGTGGTTGTACCTACCATGTGAGTCTCTGCTGGAACTTGCAGGGTGAGGAAGGTGTGAGGTCATATGTTTTAATTTGCAAGGTTTCCCAAAGATCCATTGATTCTTCAAAAGGAATTGGAAATACTTCATGCTGATTTTAGCCTGAATCTATGCTACATTTTTAAGGTAAAAATGTGGCCCAAGGTAACTGAAATGGTCACTTTAGATTTTTTTTTCCCTCTGATTTTTATCTATTGTTCTAAGAATATCATTAAAGCAAAAACAGTTGTCCCTTGGTGATCATGGAGGATTGGTTCCAGAACCCCTCAGATACCCAAATCCTGGAATGCTCAGATCCCTTATATAAAATAGTATTTGTGTATATATATATATATATATACACACACACACTCAGATACTTTAAATCATGTCTAGATGACTTACAATATGTAACATAAATATTAGGTAAATGGATGTTATACTGTATCATTTAGGGAAGAGTGACAAGAAAAAAGATGTGTCTTTAGTACAGGTGCAACCACAGTAGGCCTGGCTACATAGTAGATGTCAGCATAGTAGATATCCATCTGAGGTCAGTTCCATTTACAGACTTGGAAGCCATGGACATAGAGGTCAATTGTGATGAAGAATAAAATCTCAGTATTTCCATCATTTTGCCATGAATGTTTTCCAGTTGCCATGTTTCTATTAATGGATATATCATTATTTTTATGTGGCATATTACTTTCATTGGTAACAATTTGAATTTTCTTTTTCATTTGTGAATCTGTTTCTGCATGGTTTTCTTTTTCTTTCTTTTCGACCTGGGGATTTAACCTAAGGTTGCTTAACCACTGAGCTACATCCCCAGCCCTTTTTATTTTTTATTTTGAGACAGGGTCTTGCTAAGTTGCCAAGGCTGGCTTTGAACTTGTGATCTTCCTGCCTCAGCCTCCTGAGTTACTGGGGTTATAGGTGTGCACCACCATGCTCAGCTTGCTGCATGGTTTTCATAAATGGTTTTACTGCGAAATATACATAGCATTATTTTAAGTGGACTGCCCAGTGGCATTAAGTACATTCATATTGTTATGCAACTATCATTATCAACCACCTCTAGATCTTTTTTGTCATTCCAAAATGACACTGAGACTGTACCCATTAAGCACTAAATCCCATCCTCCTGTTGTTTTTGATATTGCGTAGTGTTCTAATTTGCTAGTCATAACTAATTACATAGTTGTTGGATACTTTTGGAGAGCTTTTGCTTTTTTCCTTTGCAATAACACCACAATGAAGATATTTATCTAATATTCATTCACATGGTAATAGAAATGTGTGCTGGGGCTGGGGCTGTAACTCAGTGGCAGAGCACTTGCCTAGCATGGGTTCTATCCTCAGCACCACAAAAAATGAACAAAATAAAATAAATGTATGCTGTCCATCTACAACTATAAAAATTTTTTTTAAATGTTACCAGACATTTAAAAAAATGTGTGCTTATTATAGGAGAACAAATTTCTGTAGCTGAGGCCAGAAAGTTTGAGTGTTAGTACCTTGATTTTTTTTTCCCTTAACATTTGTGTTTATTTTCCTTTGTCATAAAAGCTATTCAGGAGCGCCTTTTCGTGACTGAATACTCTTCACTAAATGATTGCCCTCTCTGGCCTGTGTCTGCCTCCTGGCATCCACAGGGCTTCACTTATTTTGGTCAGGGTCTTCTCTCCTCTGCAGACTTTTTTTTTTCTTTTTCTTTTGGTACTAGGGATAGAACCTAGGGTGGCTTACCCACTGAGCCACATCTGAAGACCTTTTTTTGTATTTTATTTTGAGACAGGGTCTTGCCGAGTTGTGTAGGGCCTCACTAAGGCTGGCTTGGAACTCACAATCCTCCTGCTTCAGCCTTCTGAGGCGCTGGGATTACAGGTGTCTCTACCACACCTGTCTCTGCAGGCCTTTTGCATCATTGTTTATCCAGCAGTTCACACCCCTGCTCCATCCCTGCTTCAGCTCACACCTAGGGGCTATCCTAGACTAGACCTATTTGCTGGGAGGAATAAGACTGCCCTTTTTCCTTCTTTCTTTCTTCCTTTCATTTTTTTGGTTCCAGGGATTGAACCCAAGGATGCTTAATCACACAGCCACATCCCCTGACCCCCATTTTTTTTATCATCTAGAAATGGTCTCGCTGAGTTGCCTAGGGCCTTGCTAATTTGCTAAAGCTGACTTTTAACTTTGATCTTCCTGCCTCAGCCTCTCCAGCTGCTGGGATTGTAGGCATGAGCCACTTTGCCGTTGACTGCCCTTTCTGTCCCAGGTGCTCTTAGTCTATTACTAGGTGTGTGCAAAGAGCATGGCTGCCTTCTGCTGTGGAAGCTGGCTGCCTTCCCTGTCCTTCCACTGAGGGGGGAAGCAACACTCTCCATTTACTCGGTCTGCACTGCCAGCTACTTGATTTGTAAACTTGCCATGTTTTCCCAAGACCCAAATGATTTTGACAAAAAGCAATCATTGCTGGATTTTCTTTAAATTGTTTTCTGCTTGTTTTTGTTTTTGAGATGGAGTCTCACTATGTTGCCCAGACTGACCCCAAACTCCTGGGCTCAAATAATCCTCCTGCTGCAGCCTCCTGGATAGTTGGGACTATAGGTCAACAACCCAACTTTAAAAAAATAATTATTATTACTTGTGGGGCTAGAGAGTAAACCCAGGGCCTTTCACATGCTAGGCAAATGTTCTATCACTGAGCTATACTTAGCCCTAAAAAAAAAAAAAAAAAAAAAAAAAAAAAAAAAGTTTTTAGCAATGTGAGTTTCTAGTTAGATTTTTGCTCTTGGATTGGTTTAGGCCACCCCTATAAACATACTGAGAGCAATGCAGTAACTTCCCCCTCTGTTTTGGTTTACATCAAGGTGGCTCATGTTTCATGCATCAATAGAGATTTTCAATTCCTAGAACATTGAATCCCTGAGGCCTGAGAGCGATGTTACCATTAAACTCTTTCCAGGTACGGGATAGACCCAGAGACTCAGCCCCAGGCTTCAGGTGGGTGAGATCAGGCTTTGTCACATTTTCAGATCACAATTCCTAGTGTACATGTGTGAGTATGTGTGTAAAGATAGTGAAAGCCAGCATTCTAGAAAACCGCACCCTTAGTATGTGAATACGGGCTGATTATTTTTTAGTTTTTTAAAGTAAAAATGCTGGTTGGTGTGACACATTGAATTGATTCCATAGGACAAAACAGGATCATAGACTGCAGTATGACATTTCTGGGCTGCACTCCTGCCTGCCAGCCCTGTCTGTGGTGAGTTAATCTGGATTGATTCTGAAATGTATTCTTGCTGGCCAGGTTAGGGCATTAGTTCTCAAAGTGTGGTCCCTACTGCAGCACATGCATCACCTGGGAATGTTTTAGAAATGCACATTCTGGGGCTCCGCTCGGACCTGCTGAGAAGTGGAGTGGGAGCCCCAAGTGTGTCCAGCAATCTACATTTTAACAAGCCTGCAGGTAACCCCCATTCATACATAGCAGCGTCTGAGAACCTCAAGTTCTGTTTTGTGCAGACACTCTTTGTTTAGGCTCCCTTCACCCACCTGGCCTCTGACTAGATAATTTTCAGAAGGGTCTGGGTGTAATTTTATCATTGTTTACTCTGATTGCACTTAGACATTCAGCTATGTTGTTTTTTGTGACTATTCTTATGTGTCAACATTAGACTATACTAGCAGTGCTATAGCTGGCCTGCCATGTTCATGGAGTCTGCATCCACATATTTAGTCAACCACAGATGGAAAGTATTCTGGAAAAAAATCGTATCTGTATTAAGCATGTATAGATATTTTTTCTTGTCATTGTTTCCTAAGTAATAGAATTTAATAGCTGGTCACTTAGCATTTACATTGCATTAGGTATTACCAGTAATCTAGAGATTATTTAAAATATATAGAAGGGGGTTGAGACATAGTTCATTGGTTGAGCTCAGCTTAGTATGCATGAGGCCCTGGGTTTAATCCTCAGCACCAAGTAAATAAAATGTATAGAGGGTGTGGTTAGATCACATGTACATACTCTATAATTTTATATGAAGGACTTTGGTCCTGGTGTGACCAAAAGCTTGGTTTTTGTCCACAGTGCCAATATAATAATGAAGACAAGGTTTTGAGGAAAAAAGAAAAATAAAGTTTTATTTCTCTGCTAGTAAAGGAGAAACAAAGAGGACTTTTGTTCTTGAAGTTGTGAATCTCCCCCTCAGGGGAAACTGAGGGTTTTTAAAGAGGTAATTTAAAGGTTCCATTCTAGGTGTGCCCTGTCAGGGATTATAATCTACTTTTGGCCCTGAGAGGTAGCTGTGTCTTAGATCATTTTGTCCAGGTCAGTCTCAAGGTCTGAATTAGTTTATTCCTCTAGTGTATGTACTCAGAGACAGATAATGTGATTTAGGATGGGAAAAAGGATAATCTTATTTTCCCTTAGGGAGGGGAAAGAGGGAGAAGAAGAAAGGAAAAAAACCCTCAGTTTTAATATAAGCTGCAGTGGCAGAGCTGCAAGGTCACAGGAACCAAACCCCCATGGATACTGAGGGACAGTATATGTACACATATATGTGGCTCAGGACACACATTGGTGATTCCCAGTAAAGGAAAACGGGCAAGAACATAAAATTTATGAATGTAATAATGTCTGATATTCAGATGATGGTTGTAATTGTCTACCTAGTTAAAATAATTTTTTAAAAATTTTAAAATTTTGGGTGATAAAACCAAAAATTTTGAATTGTTTTGAACTATACTGTTTTCTAGCAACTTACACAGGCGAGGGACACTCAGATTGCCTGGTGTACATTTTAGAGAACTGGGTATTTGGGGATCTCTCTTTAGATCCCTTTTAGGACAGGGTGGACCCCCATGCCATGCTGGCTCAGACCCTGGCTCTCATGTTGCTGCTGTTGCTGCTGTGATGCCAGCATGTTCCTACAGGGAGAGAGTGACAAGGCTCCACTCTAAGTAACTGTGCCTGTGGTAGTAGGTGCTTAAAACCAAGTTTCATTCTGAGGGTTTGCTGTTATTTTGTTTTGAAGGGTATGTTTTCAGAAGGATTCATGCATGGACAAGGGACTTACATTTGGGCTGACGGATTGAAGTATGAGGTAAAGCATATGATAATTACAGTTCTAAAGTGCAATTATGAAATTTCATGATCATGCCCCCACAACTAGACATATTATTTTCATAAAGTAATTTAGCACAGATTTAAAACAATACACAGAATCAAAGGGTAGAGTAACTTAGTGACTGCATGGTGCCAGGAATTGTTGTAACTGGTTCTGTTTGTAGCTCTAGAGGTATTTTATGTGTTCTTTTCATGTACAGAACACATATGTATTTATTCCCTCCTACTTTTTACAAATACAGAGTTTATTATACATTCTCTTCTATGACTTTATTTTTTAGTGAGCAAACAATATCCAGACATCTAGGTCTATTTTTACTGGCTACACATATTCCATTATCTGGATTTTACTTAACCCAACTTGCCAGGTTGTGGGGAATATGTGTTTTTAAATTGACTGCTAGGACAGATTTATTCTCCAAGAGAGTGTGCCAGTTCCAACTCCCACCCACAAAGTGTGAGTGCCCAAACTGCTGTTCTAAAAATCTCCATTTCAGAGCTACTAACACAGTGGTGTTTATAAATGGTAATGAAGACATTTAAAATACAGGCATGTGATGCACTTATTCAAATAAGAGCTAATCAAGGACAGAAACGGTCACATTTAGGCAGGAGCTGAATGGTGGGAGGCGGGCTGCAGAGGTGCAAGGAGAGCAAAGGAGGGGTTCAACCTTATTGGTCTGGGGCCAGCCTTTCTGGGGGTCTCCATTCCTACACGACATCTACCTCTAGTTCGTGGCCAACATTCAAGATTTTTGATTCAAATGGCAATTTGGCATGGAGACCCCTCTGCTTCATTGCCTCCGGAAATTCTCAGGGGTTAAGAACTCCTCTTTCCAGGCACAGATCCCTGTATCAGCCCAGTCAGATGTCTTCGTGGGTGGGGTTGGGGCTCTCACTAGAGTTCCTCAGGCAGGGAGACCAGGCAGTAGCATCTGGCTAGTGGCCAATCAGGCAGCACTGTGTTCTCTCCTCGCTGATGGCAACATCCAGTAATTTCAGATTCCTAGAAGAGAATCTGTTGGCCTAAGCCATGGTGAATAGTACTGTGCCCAGCAGACATCCCAGTCCACGCAGGGTAGATTCTCTAAAGATGTGCCTGCAGTACATTGTGATGACCACAGATAGAAGGAGGAGTTTCCACTGGTGATCAATCACTGTGTCATGTCTGGAGAGAACAGGGAATGAACCTACTTCTAGGCAGGTGTAAAGAATCTGAAGTCCCAAGGTCAGGGCTGGCAGCTGCCTCTTTACCATATCATCAGCTCACCCCCTGGAGATTTGTCTACACAGCCTTCCTATACTTTATTCTCCCTGCACTTCCTTACAGAGGAGGATCAGGTGAGAGAGAACAGGGAATGTAGAGGAGGGAGAAGAGAGGAAGCTAGGGGCATGTCCAGCTTCCCATGGAAGAGGGGCAGGGGCAGTATCAGGCTGTCTCCAACAGCCCACAGGATAAGAGGGCCCTGCACTGCCGCCTTCTCATCCTCCTTACAGACATTTTGCCTTAGGGGGATTTTGTGAAGAACATTCCTATGAACCATGGCGTGTACACTTGGCCAGATGGCAGCATGTATGAAGGGGAAGTGGTGAACGGCATGAGGAACGGATTTGGGATGTTCAAGTGCAGCACACAGCCTGTGTCCTACGTCGGCCACTGGTGCCAAGGCAAGAGACACGGGAAGGTGGGTGGAGGTACCATCTGTGCACAGGCTGTGCAGACATGGTGGGTGGGAAGTGTTGGGGGTGTTCACATGACATAAAATTAATCATTTTAAAGTCACAGTTTGGTGTCACTAAGTCCATTCGTAATGCTATGCAACCATCACCACTGTCTAGTCGCAAACATTTTCATCACCCAAAAATAAAATCCCTTGCCCATTAGGTAGTTGCTCCCCATTGCTGCCTTTCCATGTACCCTTGTAGTCCCTCATCTGCTTTCTGTCACTGTGGGTTTGCCGGACATTTTATATAAACGGAATCATATGACATGTGACCTTTGTGTCAGGCTGCTTTCTCTTGGCATGTTTTTGAGGTTCATCCATGTCCTAGCATGTGGCAGCACTTCATTCTTTTATGGCTGAGTAATCTTCCATTGTAAGTATTGATCATAATGTGTCGATTCATCTGTTGATGGACATTTGGGCTATTTTCATCTTGACTATTATGAACAATGCAGCTGTGAATATATGTGGATGGATTTGAGTACTCATATTCAATTTTGGGGGGCATTTACCCAAAAGTGGAGTTGCTAGGTCATATGGTAACTTTATGTTTAATGTTTTAAGGAACCACCAAATTCCACAACAGCTGCACCCTTTATACCTCCAACAGCAATGCAGAGCATATTCATTTTTAACTACGGTTGCTATTTTTGGAATTATTGTTTTGCTTTTGTATAGGTTGATAAAATTCAGCAATTTTTAGAATTTTAAAATCTTGTAGGTTTTAGAAAATATATAAGAAAAGTGTACCATTATAATCCTCACTAGCTGAACATTAACAGGTTGGAAAATGTAATTTGAGAGGGTATTATTCCCAAGTCCTTGATCGAAACATTCACCCATGGTTTTTTAAACAATGGGAGACTCTTGTTATTTCCCTTTCTTTTCTTCCTTCCTTCTTTTTTTTAATACTTATTTTTTAGTTGTAGTTGGACACAACACCTTTATTTTTTTATTTATATGTGGTGCTGAGGATTGAACCAAGGGCCTCATATGTGCTAGGCGAGCACTCTACTGCTGAGCCCCAGCCCCAGCCCCAGCCCCTTCCTTTTCCTTCTTATACTTTATGACTGCCTACTAAGATAAGGCAAATACCCTGGTTTATTTTAAGACTCATAGAAGTAAATGTAATGAGTCTGGCACATTATTTAGAAGCTCCACAGAAATCAGTGCCGGTCCCTCAAGTAGTGCTATATGAAAAAGCAGAGCACAGAAGCAGATCTGTGAACAGCTCTGAGAAACCTTGGAGAATTCTGGCTCTATGAGTCTTTTTATCTGAACAACACCGATAATTAAATTCCAGCTTCTGGCCTGCTTCCAGAAGGGGCCTGGTCTATCTACTGTTTTCCTTTTAAGTGGAACAACCAGATGGACTAAAACGGAAGAAGTCCTTCCATGAGACATGTGCCAACTACTGGAAGTTCCCCCAAAGGCCTTGCAAAGTCCATGCACAAAGGAATATCTAGGTTTTAAGTTGAAAATGGGGCTGGAGATGCAGTTCAGCAGTAGAATACTTGCTTCAAATGTTCAAGGCCCTGGGTTTGATCCCCAGCACTTCAAATAAACAAAAAACCCAAAAGCAAAACAGAGGGATCTAGTCCAACCTTCTTCCTTAAGGGACACAGACCAGGAGAATAGGGAGGGGGAGGGGGTGAGCCAGGGCTGCATGGCTGCATCCACACCTGGCACCTGGCTTTCCCTCACAGGCTCTCAAAATTCCACCTCAGCCCTCCTGCTCTGTTCAGGCTTGTCTTTCTCTTATGTGATGTTGTGGGTATTTCTTAAGCTCATAGCAAGTCAGTTGAGACTGGAGATTTGGAGATAGTGACTTCTAGTCAGAAGCACCTGGATGGCTTCAAGAAGGAGCAAGGTAGCTGGATAATGAAGATTTTAAAAAAAATTGCTGGGCTTGTATATACAGGTCTATAATTAGCAACTCAGGAGTCTGAGGTAAGAGGATCACACGTCAGAGCCCAACTTTAGCAACTTAGACCTCAGCATCTTATTGAGACCCTCAGCAATTTAGTCTCAAAATAAAAAAGAAGGCTGGGGATGTGGTTCAGTGGCAAAGTATCCCTGGGTTCAATCCCAAGTACCAAAATAAATAAATAAATAAAAGAGAGGGCTGGAGTTTGGCTCAGGGCTTGAACATTTGCCTAGCATGTGTGAAGCACTGGGTTCCATCCTCAGCACCACATAAAAATAAATAAAATAAAAGACATTCGGCATTTGTTTTTAAGGCATTGGCTAACATCATTTAGCATAATCTGCTCTAATGCCATCCATTTGCCTGCAAATGCCATGATTTTTATTATTTTTTAGTGTTGAGTAATATTCCATTGTGTATAAATGCCACATTTTTAAAATCCATTCATCTATTGAAGGGCATCTAGGTTGGTTCCACATTCTAGCTATTGTGAATTATGCTGCTATAAACATTGATGTGGCTGTGTCCCTGTAAGTATATAAGGGGGATGACTCAAAATGGGATAGTGAGGAAGAGCATGAGAAGAAGACTACCACTAAATAGAGAAGAGATGTGGGAGGGAAAAAGAGGGAGAAGGGGAGTTGCACAGAAGATGGAAGGAGAACCTCATTGTTATACAGAATACATACATGATGTTGTAATGAGAAAAAGGAAAAAAAAAGTGTGTCACATTAGATTGGATAGAGAGAAAGGATGGAGAGGAGGGGAGGAGTAGGGAGGATAGGAAGGGCAGCAGAATAGAATAGACAATATGATTGATGTATGTACATTCCATGTATGAATTATATATCAAAATGCATTCTACTGTCATGTATGACTAAAAAACAAATAAAAATTTTAAATATAAATAAATAAAATAAAGATATTGTGTCCATCTACAACTAAAAAGAAAAATTGCTTGTGTGTATCTGTACACGTGTGTGCATGATTGGACACTCACTCAGGGTTAAGTAGCCATGAGGTAACTAGAGGCCATTCAGCATAGATCCAAACACACTGCAGAATGGCATGAACCATTGCCTTGCGGGAATCATCAAAGGAAGCTTATTGCATGTTGCTCATACACAGAGGCAACAAAATGGGTAAGATGTCAAAATGGATAAAACAAAATGGCTTTGGTATGTGAAAGAGTGACCTCCAGTTATGAGGAAGGTGCACCAAAAAAATGGGATTCTCCAGGGCTGTGACTAAGAGTTAATGAATACAGTGAGTGCACTCATTCCTGCCTTAATGTGGCACTTTGTTATTGAGGGATAATTGGTTTGTGATATCTCATTCGCCCTTGCTGTGCCATTTTTGTGATTGTAAAATAGAAACTTAATAGCTTCTGTGTCTCATGTGAAGTGTGACATTGTCTTCTATGTACTTTTATAAGTTTATATATTTTTTATCTTTACATTTAAAAAAGTATGTTATGAGGCTTGGATTTTTAAAACATGATATTATTCGTTTTAGGGCTCCATTTATTACAATCAGGAGGGTACCTCTTGGTACGAGGGAGATTGGGTCTACAACATCAAAAAGGGCTGGGGAATAAGATGGTAGGTATGATCACTGCCACGTTTGGGGTGTAGGTGAAAAAGTGTGTGTGGGCCCAAATAACTCTCACTTAGCCTACAGATACGGTGCAGAAATTATAGAGGATAAATTTTCTGTCGAAGCAGGTGGAATATTTAAATTAATCTCCAAAGTAAACATTCCATAAAAATTTTAGAAAAATAACATTAAACATACTAATTCAGTTTAGATAGAAACTGCCTTTCTATGTTCTTTGTATTAATCATCAGTCTTCATTATTTGTTGTGTGTTTTCCGAAGAATGATGACACATTTGCTTGATTTTGGATTCAGATGTAGAATCTAATATTTTACTAAAAGGATTTTTAATGTTTTAATAAATGATTAAAATATTTAGGCACAAATATTAACTAGTCATCATATGATAGGGAATTATTTCTAAAACATGTAAAAACCTTTCTTACTTACTTTGTCACCTTAATATCAGTGGGCTTAATAAAGTGTTTATTCTGCTCCCTAAGATGATAATTTTTACTGACCACATGCCCACCTGCTGGACTTCAGCACAGTGAAGAGTGTTGGGGTCCCAGGGCTGAATTTCTGTCACTGCTTGCTGCCTGTTGGTTTATTTTGTTCTAGTTACAAATCTGGAAACATATATGAAGGCCAGTGGGAAGACAATATGCGCCACGGGGAAGGCAAGATGAGATGGCTGACGACAAATGAGGAGTATACTGGCTCCTGGGAGAGGGGAGTCCAGGTAGGACTGGGCCATCTTGGCGCGGCACACCCACAGCGATGCTGCACTCATCCTTAGCCCTGGTATTTGAGTGATATTGTTCAATAATCTAAAATTTAAGCTCTGCTGAATTTAGAAACTCAAAATATTCTTTACTGGTCTCAACTGTATTTTTTTTAATTGCTGTTTTATTATTTAGTGTTCTCTAATAGTGTCACACTACTAGATTCTGCCATTCAGATGGCTCCTGTAAGGGCAGGGACTATTATTTGTACTTTAGAAATCTTGGATTTTCAGCCAGATATGGTAACACATCCCTGTAATCCTACCAATTTGTGAGGCTGAGGCAGGAGGATTGCAAGTTCAAGTTCAGCTTGGGCAACTTAGTGAGACTCTGTCTTGAAATAAAAAATAAAAAGGGCCATATATAGAAGAATGGAACTTGACCCCTGTCTTTCACCCTGCACAGAAGTCAACTTTGATCCCCTTAGGAATTAGACCAGAGACTCTGCAACTGCTAGAAGAAAACATAGGCCCGACACTCTCAACATGTTGGCACAGGGCTTGACTTCTTTACAAAGACTCCTAAAGCACAAGAAACAAACCCCAAAATCAATAAGTGGGATGGCATCAAATTAAAAAGCTTCTGCAGAGCAAAGTGTGAAGAAAGAACCTACAGAATGAGAAAAGATCTTTGCCACCTATTCCTCAGATAGGGACTAATATTCAGAATATATAATGAACTCAAGAAACCACCAAATAACCCAATTAGTAAATGGGCAAAAGGACTAAACAAGACACTTCTCAAAAGAAGAAATACAAATGACAAAAAAAATATGGAAAAACGTTCAACATCTCTAGCATTCAGGGAAATGCTAATCAAAAACTACACTGAGGTTTCATCTCATTCCAATTAGAATGTCAGTTATCAAGAATACCAGTAGTCAGGCACAGTGGCACATTCTTGTAATGCAAGTGACTTTCGAGGCTGAGCTAGGAGGATCACAAGTTCCAGGCCAGTCTCAGCAATTAAGTGAGGCCCTAAGCAAGTTAGTGAGATCCTTTCTCAAAAATAAAAAGGACTGGGGTTGTGGCTCAGTGGTACAGTGCTTGTCTGGCATGTGTGAGGCACTGGGTTTGATTCTTGGCACCACACATAAATAAATAAATAAAATAGAGGCTGGGGTTGTGGCTCAGTGGTAGAGTGCTCGCCTAGCATGCACGAGGCACTGGGTTCAACCCTCAGCACCACGTAAATGTAAAATAAAGATGTTGTATCCACCTTAAAAAAAACTTAAGAATAAATATTTTAATAAATAAATAAATAAAAATAAAGGTCCATTGACTATTTTAAATAAATAAATAAAAGGGCTGAGGATATGGCTCAGTGGCAAAGTGCCTCTGGGTTAAATCCCCGGTACCAAAAAAAAAAAAAAAAAAAAAGAATATAAGTAATAATGTATTGGCAAGGATATGAAAAATAGTTACACTCATACATTGTTGGAGGGACTGCAAATTAGTACAACCACTCTGGAAAGAAATATGCATATTCCTCAAAAATCTCTACCATATGACCCAACTATCCCACTCTTTGGTAAATGTTCAAAATATCTAAGATCAGTATACTATAGTGATATGGCCACATCAGTGTTTGTAGTAGCACAATTCATAATAGCCAAATTGTGGGATCAACAGATGAATGGATAAAGAAAATGTACATATACACAATGGGTATAGCCATAAAGAAGAATGAAATTATGTCATTTGCTGGTAAATGGATGGAATGGAGGACAAGATGCTAAGTGAAATAAGCCAGATTCATAAAGTCAAGGGTCGAATGTTTCCTCTGGTCTGCAGAAGCCTGTGCAAAATAAGGGGAGGAGGGAAGAGAAGAAGGAAAACGGAGGTATTTCACCAAAATAAAAGATCATCCAGGCGCAGTGGCACATGCCTGTAATCCTAGTGGCTCAGGAGTCTGAGACAAGAGGATTGCAAGTCAAAGCCAGCCTCAGCAAAAGTGAGGTGCTAAACAATTCAGTGAGACCCTGTCTCTAAATAAAATATAGAATAGGCCTGGGGAGGTGGTTCAGTGGGTGAGTTCCCCTAAGTTCAATCCTCAGTAGTTCCCCGAGAAAATAAATAAAGATGCAGGGAATTGAGGAAGAGGAAGAAAGGAGGGTTATGGATGTACATGATGATGATGTGCACTTGTGTGCACATATGAATATAACATAGTGAATATCATCATCATGTATATCCATAAAATAGTAACTAAAAAACAAAAATAAAAAACCCCAAACAGGGGCTGGGGATGTGGCTCAAGTGGTAGTGCGCTCGCCTAGCATGCGTGAAGCACTGGGTTCGATTCTCAGCACCACATAAAAACAAAATAAAGAAATTGTGAAAAACTAAAAAATAAATATTTGGAAAAAAGAAGAAAAAAAAACCCAAACAACTAAAAATAGCAGAAAGATCAGTGGAGGGGAAGGGAACTGGGGGGAGAAGAGGAGAGAAAAGGAAGTACTAGTGACTGAATGAGAACAAATTATATTCCGTGCTTTTTTAGTTATGTCAAAATGAATCCTAATGTTATGTATAACTAAAAGAGCCAATAAAAAGGGAAAAGTGGAAAAATTTATTTTAAATGTAAAAAAGATAAAACAAGGCTTTGGATATGGCTGTGGTAAAGCACCCCTGACTTCAATCCCCAATACTAGGGAAAAAGAAAGAGAAAGAAAGAACCAAATGATGGATTTCCTGCACAGAAGAGAAAAACTTTGCTATCAGTTCATAAAACTTGAATTTTCTAATATATATTAATCTGGTAATGGGGACCTTGTTAAACTCACATAATAGCTTCACTTTTTTTGTAGGTTCTTTGGTGGTGTTTATATAGGCAATCATCTTTGCAAGTACAGTCAACTTTATATCGTCTTTCTAATCTGTCTGGAGTTTTCCCTCTTACTATTGTATTACCTGGCAAGGTAGGATATCCTCTATGATAGAAGTACGGAAATCCTATGCCATTCTTGATCCTACTAGGAAAGAATTCAGTCTTTCATCAGGGTTGATGTTAACTGTAGATTTTTCATAGATGTCCTTTTCTGGTTCAGGAAGCTCTCTTTAATAATAATAATTATTATTATTTTAATTCTTTTTGTGTTTTATTTTGAGATGGGGTCTCACTAAGTTGCTTAGGGCCTAGCTAAGTTGGTGAGGCTTGCCTGGAACTTACAATCCTCCTGCCTCAGCCTCCTGAGATGCTGGATATACTGCCATGCCCAGCTAATTCTCAATTTCCTTACAGTTTTTATTATGAATGGATATTAACCCTTAAAGGCTTACATAATTTGTCTTAGGTAAAAAGATTGGCTAGTGGGGCTGGGGATGTGGCTCAAGCGGTAGCGCGCTCGCCTGGCATGCATGCGGCCCGGGTTCGATCCTCAGCACCACATACCAACAAAGATGTTGTGTC